CTGGAACTGGACTCTCCTCTTTTTCTTACAAATACATTTTAATTTGTATCTAAGATCTGTTCTGCAAAACAGATTTACATCTGTTTTGACATTTGCACATGCTATTTATTAACATGTTCAAGTAGTCTTAACTTCTTTTCAAGCTTACAGCTTGGGTCTTGATTGTTATTTTCCCCTTCTCCTTACTTGTACATAATTGCACACTGTGACATATTACTTTAACTGTAATACTTTTAAAATAGATAAAAGTGGGGAAATCAAAGCAAAATAAGCAAACAATAATTACTTACAGGTACCAATAAAATACATTTCATTATATGAAGAACATCATGCATCAAGCCTATTACTTTGCCCACTTAATATATATCAGAATAAAATAATTTCTTTTTGGCAATTGATATCACTAAATTCTGCTTTGAATCAAAATACAGTATATGAGCTCAGAGTTGAACTGTGGGGTCCTTGGTGTGCTCTGAGCTTGTTTTCTTGCAGACGTTTTATTATCAAACTAGGTAACATCATCAGTGTCCATCATATGAAGATATGACATCTCCTTTCAGTTATTTTAAAAATCAAACTCTGATTTTCTTTTATTTTAAAGTATAGCTATTCAAAACTCCAACAGATAATTCAAGTCAATTTTATTCATTACTGTGGGTTTAAACTGCTTGACACTTGTGAATAATTTCACTTTGGTTGAGGATTGCTGATAATCTCCTCCTCCTCCTCCTCCTTCCCCTCCCCCTCCATTATCCATGAATTCCCTCCCATACTACATACAGGAACTATTTTTTAAATTAAAAATATTTTCACTTTTACATGAGAATATAAAAAAGACACAGATTAGGTTCACAAATCAATGGCTCCATCTGAGGGACTGTTCTCTCTTACCAATATTACCTCCACAGCAAGTCCAGCCAAGGAGTGCCATCTGACAGGTCTTTCCTGTCATGGCTCCCTCATTCTGGAACATAATCCCCTGCCCTGGGGATCAAAGTGGCCCCACCCAGCTGGCTTTTCACATTTCTTATTCTAACCTATGGATAATTTAAAACAAAATATTGAAAAGTCTTTGATTCATCTTTAAATATCAAACTTTCTCCAAATCTCAAATCTCTACTCTGAAATCCAATTTAATTTACATATAGGCCTACAGTACTGAAAAACCTTGTCAGTAACCTTGTAGGTTAGGCACACACATACCCCAAAAAACAAACAAAACAAAAAAAACCAAAGCAGATCACCTATTAATTCCCTAGATCAGGGGTGTCAAACTTGCAACATCACGTGACATATCATGACGTATAGAGACTTTTTTCCATTGCTGGCAATGGGGTGGGCGTGGTTTCGGCATGATGCATCTGGCCCAGAGGCTGGCAGTTTGACATCCCTGCCCTAGATGAATTCCCCCTAAATCACTGCTCTTCAGGTGAATTCCCAACCACCATATTGGAAAGGTACCATTTTACTGGCTACTCTAGAGAACTATAGATGGGCTGCTGTCTCTCAGCTTTAATTCTAATAACACCATGGAAATCAAAGCCCAGATCTTATAAACTCACCCTACAAACAGTAAGACTAAAGTAGCTAGATGGATTTGCACAGCTCCTTAAACTGAAACCAACTAAACATGATCTTGGATTTTGTATGAACCTAGTCATTGTTGCTTTCAATTTCAATGGTGTGGCACGAACAAAGCCCACTGTACTTTATTTAGTAAACCAGTTTTTTTAGCAAGTGGTTGTCTACAGTTATAATTACTGTATTTAACAAGTGCACAGTAAAAACTTGCAGTATTTGAAGATCATCCACTTAGTCACACTATAATGTTATCTCTCTTTATTTAATTTAAAAAATTATATTCAGCTAATCATTTACTGCTAAAATTAATTTTAGCAATTCCCTCTTAAGGAGACGCATTTTAAAAGAAATTTAGGCAAAAGGAATTCAAGCAGTCATCAGATGTCGTGTCTGAATTCCAACCCAAGCTTGTCAAGTCATTAGTTAATCTGCATTCAGAATTTTAAGCCAAGAGCAACATGGCTATTGCTTTGAGATCTGCAGTTATTGATTGCATATTTATTTAAGGTTAATCTCAATAACAATACATTTTATTTTCCTACATTTTCAGTAGCACATATGTCATAAGGTGCCCTTATGCATTTATATGCTACTGTATATACATTTGTTTAATATAAATAAAATAAATAAAAATCAGGGCACTTCTAAGATTATGTCAGCTTTGTTGCCCAAGATTCTTTAACATCTAAGACAGGGGTGTTAAACTGCCAGCCCACAGGCCGGATGGGTCATGCCGAAACCGCGCCCGCCCCATTGCTGGCAATGGAAAAAAAGTCATGATATGTTTGCGACACATCACATGACATTGCGAGTTTGACACCCCTGATCTAAGAGTTTGAGCTTGAACATCTTACATGCAAAGCATGTATCATGGAGTCTGCCCAATCTTTGCCCAAACAAGATATCAAAAATCATGACTTCAACTTGTGCTGCTGAATAAAGGTCAATGGTGAAAGAAAACTATTTTGATGTCACCAAAACTTCCCTGAACTTGGCTTCTTCTGGGAATACCTGGGAAAACCAAGGAATGAATTCTGTTAAGCTTGGAGTACCACCAAGTAAGCCCTACTCAGCACAATAAGATCTACTTCTAAACAGCAGTAACCAGATTACAAAAATCATACTTACAGAGGGCTTTATATTTTAGTAGCATAAGTTCTATAACAAGGCCATATTTCTCCATCAAATTTATTTCATGATTCCAAAAAAAAAAGTTTAAAAGTGATATTATTCCACCTCCTGAAAAAGAAAAGCTTTGCACAGGTGTAGCCAGTAAATAGGTAGAAGGAGAAGAAATCTACATTGTATTTACATTCATATACAACCAGAGCTTTTTTTCTCATAGAATGCCCAGAACGGAGTTCTGGCACCTTTTTGGGATGAAACCTTGTAGGGTAGGCAAGGCGGGTTGTATGAGGTGTGTGAGTTCCGGCACCTTTTTTTTTTTTTTTTTTTTTTTAAAAAAAAAGCACTGTATATAATACCAGGGAACCAGAAGGACTTTGGAAAGCCTCCTTTATACATAGAAATCTGCTAATGAATGTGTGCTGTGTGTGCCTTTCCACTGAACCTCATGCTTCTAACTGGAGCATTCTGTCAGACTGGCAAAACTGATTTAGGAGAAAAGGAATCTGTTTATCAGCTGCAGCAAACTAGCTAAGTTCTGGCTGGCTGTATAGAGGAGTTGAATACTGCAGGATCTCAGCGCAAGTGCTTGGTAACCAAAGTTATCAAACATTCCTTATTTTTCATTGACCTTTTCCCCCTTAGATGTCACAATTCCAAAAATAGGAATAGACCTGTCCATTGTGATCGCCCTATGGGACAGACTCTGCACAAATCTAATAACAGAACATGGTCTCTTTATCTGATTAAAACAGTGCAAAATATTGAGAAACAAAAGCACTGTGGAATCTGAAAATGTGCCAAGGGCCTCCAGGAAATTCATAAAGAAAAAAATGGAAAAGAAGGAAAGACAGAAATAATTTTACCCCCACTTGGCCATGGGCCCATTAAAACGTTTGGAAGGCATGTGGTCCTCTCCCATCTCCCTCAGAGGTAAACAAAGACAATATATCATGCCTTCTGTAACTAATAACATATTAAAAAGCAAAAGGGAGGAGACAGGTCCAGAACCACATCTGGTAAGGAAATGATGTTTCCTATTCTTCCTTAGCATCCCTTTCTAAAGGAGAAGTTAGTCAAACAGCGACCAAATTAAAATGTCATTACCTAGATAGAGAATAATCTCATATTGTCTTCCCAAACCATCCTTCCAATCCGAGCAAGCAACGAAACAAAACGCCGAAATAAATGGCAGTCGATATACAAAGGCAATTAACCCAACTAGGCCAGGCTTTTAAGGAGCAAAGATTGGAGAGGGGGGCGAGGGGGCGTGAACACGACAGATTAAAAATAGCCATAGCACAACCCGAAGTAGTGGGGGAACGAAACTAAGATCAGATGTTAATCAGATGCCACCGAGACCATCTCCCGAGGTCTCTTTGACCGAGCAACTTCAAACAGGCTCGAAAACCGGCTTCTTACACCAGAGAGCCCAACCCACCCGCTCAGGAGATGCTGTTTCTCGGGCACCGAGAATCGGGTTAGACCCCGGCCGGGATCGGATTTCTGGTCGAGCTAGAGGCTTCCCCATCCTCTTCCTTCCCTCGGGCGAAACTGCCTGCCGCGGCTGTCAAGCGCCAAATTACCCAGAGCCACCGGCAGAGCTTCTGGCTGGGAGGCACCAGCCGCTTCTTCGCGGTCGCCGGTTCTCCCGGAAAGGCGGGAAATGGAGAGGCGGGGGAGGACACCATCAAACCGCCTCCTCCAGGATTTGCCTGCCACTCGTTCCGTCTCCCAAAGGCTTCAAGGCAACCGGGATTCCCTTCGACAGGCGGGCGCCTTTGCGATCTTCAGAACTAGCGGCGGCAAAATGAGGAAGGAAGGAAGGAAGGAAGGAAGGAAGGAAGGAAGGAAGGAAGGAAGGAAGGAAGGAAGGAAGGAAGGAAGGAAGGAAGGAAACGGTGGGCGCTGCCCCCACCACTCAGCTATTTGCTCCAGCCAGCCAGGCAGCTTAGCCGGCGGCACCAAGCAACTAGCTGAGAGGGGAGGCAGCCAGGAAGCAGGAGCCTTCGCCCGATCAAGGAGAGCCCGTCCTAACAAAGCTCCCGATTCTTCTCCCCAACGAATCTCCTTTCCTCTTAACTATCCACTCTCCTCCCCCCCCCTCCCCGCCTGCGCATCCTCCCCTCGGACCAGAGTCCAGCATCCCGCCTATGGCAGCAGGAATATGACCTCAAAACACCCATGTTCCAAATAAATGGAATCTGGGCAACGCTTGTTTAAAAATGGGGAGGGAGAGGGAGACCTGGAGAATGAGGAAGGGGAGAAACGGGACTGCGGAAGAGAGAGAGTACCTTGGATGTGCTGCTTGATGACACTTTCCAAGTGGTCCAGCCTTTCTATAATCCTTAGAGTGTCTCCTTTGTCTTCCTCTAACTTTTTCTCCGAGATCGGCTCCTGAACTTTCACAGAAACCGTGGCAATGTAGTTGGTTACCCAGCCCACGTAGAGCAAGCAGATGATGTTAGTCATCCCGCTGAGAATCACGCATGTGGACACTAAAGTTTTGGTTTTCCTGTTGCAAACCATTCTGAGATCCCTCCATATAGCTCCAACAAAACCTGATGCTCCGGTAGAAGAAGCGGAAGGGAGAAGAGCAGCGGCGGCAAAGGGAAAAAAAAGTCAATAAATAGGTGCGTAAATTAATACCCTTCTCTAGCTTTCTGCAAAAGGGAAAACTGGTCCAGTCTCAAGTCAGCGCATTTCCATCTAAACCACGACCTGTTTCACAGACGAGGAACATTTCTTCCCCCACCCAAAAGCAAAGGTGAAGACGAAAGCTTGATTCGGCTGCTAGAATCTCCCGGCTGTAAACCAATCAAAGAAAGAAAAAACAAAAACAAAGGAACAAGCAGAAACTTTATCTCCAAAGCTTTGTGCGCTCCCACGCTCGGCTGATTCCCTTGGTCAGCCTCACTCCAGAGCGCGCATGGGAGAGATGCGGAGTCAGGTGCCCAAGTGTTGCAAAAACTTTCTTCTCTGCCGTGCCGCCTCGCGCAGCTCACAGCAGCCAACGCTCCTAAGCCACCCCCTTAGAAACCGCAAGCAGGCGAGTCGGGCGTATATGGGGGCGGATTGACAAGCCTCCCGTCCAATAAAGAGAAGGAGCTGGCCCAGAGTTCCGCGGCATCGCCAAGCTGTTGGCCAACGGGGATCTTGGAGGGGAGAGCTTCATTGGAGGCCCACCTACTCGCTGATCCGGCTTTCCCTAGTCGTCAGGCTCCCGTTTGGCGAGTGTGTTTGTGTAGGTCTGCGGCTCCCGGGAAGATCGACCCAGGGTGGGGGTGGGGGAATCTGCATGGAGATCAAAGGAGGCAGTGAAAGTTGCGTGGTAAGTTCCACAGGTAAAGCTAATTTATCGCGTCTGGCTTTCCTTCCATATTCTTCCCCCTTTTTTTATTCCTCGCTGTTAGTATAGTATCTGTTGCTATTTATTATTCGCCGCTCGCAATACCATGATTAATTCTGTAAGGTGTTTTAAAGCTTTTCCTTTTAGGGTCCAATAGATTATGAATGATCAAAGAGAGCTTTATTGATCCAAAGCGGGGAAAAATCCGACGCCGCCTTCCTTGCTCCTGTAAACGCTTGGTCGCTTTACTCCAAGTATTCAATAGCTCCCATAGACAGGTCTTCAGGGTTAAGCCGTTCGAATAGCTAGCAATAGCTATAAAACCACCGGAGAAAACATTTTAATGGAAGCTGTCTTCATCTGCTGTTTTTGTGTTCATTCACCTACCAAGCCAATGTATTCTTTCCACTATCATTGCCTGAGTTCTGTAATGTTCCATTTTACATGTATGGAATTATGGTTGCTGAGCCTTCCTGAAATATATAACTGAATGCAACCTGAATTATGCATCTTCAATAGTGTACAATTAAGTCAGATCGAAGAATTGTAGTCAGGGTTCCTATCAGTTTGCTCTGGAATGACAACAATGCTGGCTAGGCGTTTTGGCAGGGAGCCCAGATATGGCAAGGAGCCAGGCATATCCTGGGGCAATCTCATCTGTTGCAGATGCCGCCCATGAGACCCAATGCATGTTACCTGCTGCTTGAAATTCATGGATGATGTGTGGTTTGTGCTCATTTCTCTGCTGCCAGGAGTAGGTTCTCTGCTGTGTATTTCTCCAATAGTTGAGGGTGAGACCACTGAAGTCTATCCTTTTTCCCAGATTGCCACTTCTAACAATAATGACTGGAGTGGCCTTTCCTGCAGCCCCAGCCATGAAATTGTTCCTAGAAGACAAATATTTCTCTATGCCATATCCACAGGTGGCACTTTCCATGGGCTCCTGGATGTTTTAACTTTGTACTCCCTTCCAACCTCTTCTTTCTCTTCCTTTCCTCTCTTTGGAGCATTCCTGCTTACTTCTCATCTAGCTAACACGTTGTGGACTGAGGGAGGATTCTGCTGCGGTACACAATGATGCTCGGTAGAACTGCTGGGCTGCTGTATGGTAGCAGGTCTTCCTGTTGCTACAGACTGGCATGCTTTTTTATTTTGTGTCATACCGGGTTTCGTGGGCCATAAACATTACTGAGCTGCAAGGATTGGGAAGAGGAAGAAGAGCAGTGGGAGGAAGTGGAAAATACTGGGCAAAGAATTTATCTCATTCTGGTAAATTGAGATGGTCATTTGCCAAAGTTCCACCGCCAGGGCTGAAGTATCATATGGGCACCAGCAGTTACCACTTTCTTACTGTCCATATGGCAACTTGCTGACAGTGCTAGATTTAGGCACAAGCTAAGCAAATTACAATTTAGGGCAGGGGTCGGCAACTCGCAGCTCCAGAGCCACGTGTGGCTTTTTCATCCCTCTGCTGCGGCTTCCTGTCGCTCAAAATATGTGTCACAATCGCCATTGTCTGACACCCGCCAGCATGAGATTTATTGTGCTTTTCGACCCCCAGTAGGCTGAGGTTCAGGAGCAAAAATCACATTAACCAGGTAAAATCAATATTTTAATTGGCTATTATTTTGCAAATATATATTTTACATTGTTCAGTGAAATAGTCCTTTTTTTTTATTCAAGTTGACAGCCGACTGCACACTCCAGTATATGTGATAAAAGGGTGACAGCACACAGAAGCAGATGGCATTTTTGGTTTGCTGCAAGTGGATAATTTTAAGTTCAGCTTTTTATTTCATAAATAAAGGAGGAGGACTCAAATAGACATTTATTTTATTTGAAAGTAACCTTCAGCCCAGTGTCTTTTTTTGGAGTTCAAAATGTTTTTGTTGCATGAAGAAATAAAAATTTGTTTTCTCTGTAGTAGTTCATTGATCTCATAAATACAACACACTATAGTTTTTTTTTATACATAGCACAAAGGTAAAAAACGATATACTGTATGCAGTGTTATCTTCATTTTAGATGTCAAAAGGGTGTTGTGGCTCCCAGTGTTTTCTGTGGGAAACGGGTCTCAATGGCTCTTCGAGTGTTTAAGGTTGCCGACCCCTGGTTTAGGATCTCATAGTCTAAAGGGCTCTCTCAAAATGTCAGTTTTCGTTTCACTTGTTACAGTTTCATTATTATTTCATACCCCAACGTCTCCATTAATTAAGCTGTTCTGTATGGCTCACATGATCCTCATTAATTAACATATGCTATGTTTCTGCCTGCATTTACACATTCTATTCACAGAGGGTCTTTTCCTACCCCATTGTGGATTTTTTTTGTGCTTGGCATCTTGCCATGTTCAGTTGTTATATTTGCCAGGTAGAACCTCTAGAGTTTAATCGCTGTTAGCACTTTCCAAACAGAACTGCTAAAACTTCTCAAAGCTTAGCCTTCTCCTATTTTAAAACTGGCCCTGCCAGCCAGTCCTTCCCTTTCTTTAGTAGTGGTTCAAGCCACATTTATTTCATCCAAGCTTCATGGAGAGTGAAGAGACAGGGGTGTGATAAGCCTCTCTGATACTGCTGTAGGGCCAGTCAGCTATGCTCCTGATCAGTAGGGTTGAGCTGCCAATGGTTTGCTAATGCTTCTGTTAGAACTAACACATCACCACAGACACAACCCAGCTCTAATGATAGGCAGTTCCAAATGCTTTTCCAGCTCTTAAAAAAACACTCTGGGTACCGGCAAGCTGCCAACAAATGAGCTATGCCATGATGGTGCTTAGTCCCTTTTGGTGCCCGTTTCTCAACTATCCAAAAACCCATCCCCATAGCAACAGCATTGCTATTGTATTCACCAGATACAACATTGGTTATTGGGAGTAGTTGTACACTCAAAATACATTCAGGTTTTTGGTCCAGGACTTGCTTGCTTACTCTTGCTATCTCTTGAAACCATTCCAAATCCAGGATACTGATGGATACACCAAAAGTGGGTATTAGAGATTTTCTAGACCACTCCCCCTTAACTGGATTTGATTCCTGTACTCAAGTCTGCTTAAAAGCTTCAGAACAAAGCACACTATGTATATAAAGCAGGGATAGCTATATTTTAGTTACCAAGTTACCCCCTCCTGTAACTTATGTTTCTTTCTGATAGTACCTTTACAGAGAGCACCGCCTTACCTTCAGGCAAGTAGCTCTGGTACAAATTATTAGCAGCCTGCACAACAGTACAATTTCTCCTTTCCCTTCTTTCAGAGATTGATAGCTATTGGGATCAGCCAATACACGGAACCATTAACTGACCAAATGGATTCTTTCCCCATAACTCTCTAACTCCCCTACAAAATAAATCCTACATTGTTTAAACTGTCTAAGCCTAAGATATTCTGCACGTGTAACCACTGACTTTTTAAATAAATAGCTTAAGCATGGGAGATAGGCAAAGGCCTGGTTTCATTTCCATCCAAGTAGACACCATTACTGTTTGGGGAAGAGAGGAGAAAAGAAAATAATGACAGCCCACTTTCTAAAGCCAAAGACAACAGCTTTTGCATTGTTGACCTACCATCTGGAGAAGTCATGCATGGCTGGGCTTCATTGGCCAATGATGCCATGGTTTAGCATAGTATGACTAACTTCATGACTGCAGTAATAGTTCCTTGTGTTCCCACCCCATTAATTTATGGACTGCACACAGAGAGTGTCAGGATTTGTTGCTATGCCTGGTAATAAGATCTGAATCATTTTACACAAGCTAGTTTCTCAAATGAGAGTGGAATTATGATCATAAATTGCTATAACCCATAACGGGCAAAGAGTTGAAGTTATATACATTGTTATCCCATCATATATGAAAATAAGAGCTGGGCCCCTGATATATTATAGGCTTCCTTGAATATCAGCACTGCTGCCATCCAACCATAGTTAGCTTGCTAAACCATGATTAAAACTGTATGCTATTTATGATTTTCTTTAGAACAATATACTCATAGAATTGTGCTTTGCAATACAATGTACTAATATGTTTTAGGATAACTTTGAATGAAATATGAGTTAAATTATTAAAAACTGAATTTATATATTGTATATAATACAATTGTATATTGTATATAATAGAAGTCAAATGTAGAAGAAGAAATGGAAACTACATGAGTCAAATCTTAAGCCCATTTTTTGTTTTTCTAATAAGCAATAATTTGGAATCGCCAGATGGTACATATACTAAACTAATATTCTTCCTCTTATTATTGTCCTAAGAAAGGGTAAGTCAAGTAACCACACTGAGTGGCCTTTAAAGTGTTGGCCCAGAGAGGATACAATTTGTCCAGCAAATCTGGAAGCAAGAGAAACACTGAAGAAGAAACATTAAGGAAGATGCCTGCACGGAGAGGACTTACATGTGCATGTCTTACTGAATATATCATATATAATTATATAAAAATAATTTCCAAATGAATCTTTAAGAACTTCAGATTTTAACAGAAATTTTTTCACAAAATGAATAACACTGTATTTATTTTATTTGACTTATTTACAGTTTTTAAGCATAACGTCAGCAATAAATTTATAGTATTTTTCTGATAAGCTTCTCTGAAAACTTAACTTGAACGTTTCTAGGTACAAAAAGGCATCTATGGACACAGATAATATATTGAGATTTCTGGATCAATGTAACTAAAGAACACAGACAGTCTGAATAAAACACTATTTTCTTTAAAAAGTTATTTCTGGTTCTATTTTTGCTATGTTATGTTTTTTGGCCAATACCATCTCCCAGACTTGGAATAAATATTGGTTCAAAGAGAGATGAACTTTACTTTCCCAGCGCTTTTTTAGAGAAAATCTGGCAGCTAATACTGTAATGACTTATTTTCTTGTGCGGCAATCCAACCTTCTGTTAAGTTTGCAAGTTTCATGACTTACTGAATTTTATTCCTGTACTCAAAAGTTTGTTTAAAAGCTTCAGAACAAAGCATACTATGTGTGTAAAGCAGGGATAGCTATATTTTAGTTACCAAGAGATTTCAGTAGAATAAATTCCAATGTACTGTTTCAAAGTAGAGCATTCTGGTATGTCTTCACATACTCACACGCTGCAAACCATAGGTGAAAGACAGAGATCCTCCTTCAGGTGCAGAGGATATAAACCATTATATCCTGCAGGTAACGTGTGTGTATGGTGGGGGGGGGGAAGTCTCCCTTATCCAAATATTACAGACTAACTCTTAAGGGCAGAGACAACATTCTACCGCATGGTATCATTGATACAATATCTTGGAGTGGAAAACACACAGCCCTTTAACCCTGATATAGCTCTACTGAAGATGTCCTTCAAGACAGGACAGAAGAGTCAGACTGGAGTTAAAATACAGCACCCCATGCAGCCCTGGCTTCAGTTTTGAGACGTTTTACCTTGCTTACACCCCCCCCCCCGTCTTAGGGAATTCAAAACATAAGTAGTGTACCTTGACCCAACCATAGAGTCTATTAGCATGGAGGTGGGGAGGAAGGAGCAACAGCTCCTCTGGATCTTGGGGTATTCTGGATTTTCTCTGGTTTTTCTAAGTGGTATGAACCAGTAAGAAAGTGAAGGCCACAGAAGCTACTCCAGTGGAGCCAGCGATTTCTGAACTTGGTCATAATCAAGTGTGTTTTCTCATTCCCCCAGTGTCCATAATACATATGTAAGTAGTGTATCAAGGGCAAATTAGACAATGCACCTGTCACTTTGTTCATCAGCCCTAAGTGTGTTTGGGAGTCAATGTAGTACTATTAACTCTGCTTTTTTTCAAAATTCCTTACAAATTCCTGTGTCCCTGGCAAATATATACATAAAAATGGTTATAATAGAAGTAGCTATTGAAATAAAACTATAGATTCCATGTATCTATAGATACTACAGATACCATGACCTGCATGACTGAGAATCTTCATAGACATATTGATACCAAGTGTCTACTGTAATATTTAACAATGCCAGAGTTACCTGAAACATGGCACAATGTGACCATCCAAGGTCCATAGAAAACATCACTTTCCAAATTCTGGTTTCTTCTTTGAGGCCACACAATAGAATTGGCCACACAGATTTCACAGGCCAATTCCTACCTACAGTTAAACATACATGGCACAAAAGGAAAAAGAGGTGGACAGGGAGTAGAAGAAAGAACATCAGGTCATCACTAACTGGAGTGACTCTGTGATTGAAAGTGACCAGGCAGAATAAAATTCTCAGCAATCATACAATGAAGCTACGATCAGTCATTCAATCCAAAATCCTTTATTCTGAAGTTGTGTTTTTAACTCCCACAGAACACTCTCCTAGAATGCTTTAAAACTGTAGCAAGTATAAATGATAAAATGGTAGAACAACGTCCAGCATGTAAAGAAAAAAAAAGCTAAGAAGGAGTGACCTTCAAGTGGAAGGTACAAAAAGTTCAAAAATAGAATAACAAAAATCTGAGATACCTGCTTGTCTAGAAACAATTTTGATATTGTGGGAAAGTCATGTGGGTGGGCTGTTGGAATGCAAAGGCAATGGGCCAGAAAAACAGATGTGCACATTTGAATGTCAGGGTTATAACTTGACATTGCACATCATAGCCTTGAAACTGAAAAGTGAATAATGTGGAATTAAAATCCTTTATGTTATACTCAACTTGTTATCCTAAGCAACCTAGTGGCATGTTCGGACCAAATCTACAAGAGCTCTCAGAATATTGTGTTCCACATCAATACCTGAGTTGATACTTTGCCACAAAAGTGAACGCAGTTCCAACACCTGGATAATATGATACAGTGTGATCTGCCCATTTGCAAATGTTGTGTAGGATCAATCATGAAGCAATGATGCACACATTCTCCTCAATGACAGCCGGATGGGCAGAAGGGCACCACTGCCATGCTTTTGGTTCACTTCACAACATTCCTACTACAGTAGTTAAAGGCACAATTGTAGACAGAGTCCCTTCATGTGTTTCCTCAACTATCATATCCCCCCACATTACATGTGGAATATTCCATTCACTAAAGGTGAGGTGGCTGGTAACAAACGTACCTTGATCCATGATAGTGTACACTGAGAAGTTGAACAATATAAAGTTTTCATGAAGCCTTTATTATAGCCAGCCTCCTCATCAAGGAACCAGCCATTAGGAACCACCATTCTCTGCAAAAGAATGATTGGACTGTTTTGTAATAGAATGTTCCTGCTCTTGAAGGAGGATACAGATGGGACATGGCACCTATTCCCAATTCAAGCCCAGTTCATTAAATTCATCCATAATTCATAAGGATAGAAGTTAGAAACAAATGGCGTTAATTTTATTTTGCGGTCACAGACCAAAATACAAGTGCAACAAAAGAAAACATAAGAAAAATATGATCACAAACAATTAACACCAGAAGCCTTGGCTAAGGGGAATTACAACGTTCTCCTCTAATAGTTACAGCTCTTAAAAGAAATTTAGAAACCTGAGAAGTAATATAGGAGGCGCCATCCCCTAGACAATATAAAATCAAATTACTAACATTAGAACCAGAGGGATCAATTCCAAGGAGAGGTAATAGTTTAATTCTGGCTGTATTATACATAGGGTAGTATAATAAGACATGCTCCACAGTTTCAACTTCAGCCCTATTACAGGGGCATAATCACTCACTAAACGGGAGCCTCTTGAATCGCCCTTCGAGTAGTGCTGAGGGCAAGACATTGAAACGGGCTAGGGAAAAGACTCTTCTATACTTGGGGATGGTTAGAGTATAGAAATAAGAGGCCATCCTCAATCCATAATTATTAGAATGATTAAAGATCAAAGGGGAGCAGGGTTTGTTGGCTCTGGCTCTTAAGTATTGCAAATCTATGTCCACAAGCCGTTGGACTACCCTAAACTGGGCATCCTTGAGACCATAATCTCCCAGAGCATCCCCCGTAAAACCTAGCAAGTAGAGTTTCTTCATCAGCTCTCTCTCCCAACGAGAAGTATGAGAGTCAGCAAACACCAGGGAGAGGTAGCTACCAGGGGCTGCTGAAAAGAGCACCCGAAACCACCATTTGAAGGTGTTAATCCACACCATGCATTCGACTGAATGAATGCCCAGTTCCAGGTACATCGAAGCAAATCCAATACAGGGAGGAAGACCCAGAAGTTTCCTAAGAAAAACAGCCTGGGTACTTTCAATACCATCCATAAAGCCTCATATCCATATGGGAATTCCATAAAGAGTTGGGCCAGGGTTTTGGCTTGATATATATATGCAAAGCAGAAGGAATAAACTGGCCTCCTTGGGTAAAAAAAATCTGCTGATGGCTACAGGAGGCCGAATTCAGCACCTGGGTTCGATGATTAGTCCAGGCACCAGTATTCTGAAATTGAATACCTAAATACTTAAAATGGAAAACCTGCCTAACAACATTACCATTGATAGCCCAGTTGTATAATTTCCAGGCTCTAGAGAATACCAATACTTTGGATTTGTCATAATTAATAGACAAATGGTTCTCAGCACAGTAGGACCCAAATGCAGAAAGTAATCTTTTTAGACCGACCCTTGATTGTGATAGAAGGACCGCATCGTCAGCATAAAGAAGAAGCGGAATCTTCGTGTTTAACAACTTTGGGGCATGGGACTCAATGCGTTTAATATAAGAGACCAGGTCGGATAAGAATAGATTAAACAGAAGAGGGGCCAGAACATAACCCTGCCTAACTCCGCTCTCAATCGGGATAGGATTTGAAAGTTCTCCCTGCAAGCCACACCTAACCTGGCTAGAGGTCTGATTATACAAAGATCTGATTAAGAACAAAATATGTCTGTCAATAGAACTTTTGTGCAATTTTGACCACAACAGTTCCCTAGGGACTGAGTCAAACGCTGCCTTTAAATCAATAAAAGCAGTAAAAAGTTTGCCACCTGGTGTAATAACGTATTTATCAACCAGGTCTGCTAGGACAAAACAGTGGTCCAATGTGGCACAGCCTGCTTTAAACCCAATCTGCTCTGCACCAATAATGTTAGATTCCTCAACCCAAGTGAGGAGTCTACGTTGAAGATATTTAGCATACAATTTCCCAATGATGGAAAGCAGGCTATAGGGCGATAATCGGCAGGGTTGCTCCTGTTTCCTCATTTAAAAACTGGAATAATAATTGCTAGATAGGAATCCTACCAGAGGAATTAATATGGGTGAAGAGTGTTGCCAAAAGAGGAATCCACCACTTGGGATTAGATTTTAGGAAAATGGGGGGTATAGCATCGGGGCCAGGGACTTTGCCTGACTTAAGTTCTGAAATAAGCTCAGCGATTTCAGCATGAGTCATGGGTTGCCATATAGGAATTGCAAGAGGCAATTGTGATCCAAGCTCGGTCAAAATTATTGAAGCCTGAAAGATTGACAAAAAATGATTTTCCCAATCTCTGTTAGAAATACAGCAGAGAGGGAGTTCTTGGTAATCAGAGAGAGAGCTGGCAACAATTTGCCAGAATAGTCGAGTGTTCTTCTGCTGGATAGAGAAGAGAAGTAAATCCCACTTCTCTCTCTCTTTAGCCCTCTTTTTCTTAACAATTAGCCCTTTATACTCCTGCTTCAGGCGATAATAGTCCTCTGGTAGGTGTTTGTCCCCACGGTTATGGTAAAACAAGTAAACCCAGTTAATCTGGTTCCTAAGCATCAGACATTCTTTATCAAACCAGGAATTGCTTCTTGAGGGATATGGACCCCT